AATATATCAGTCCTAATTGTGCTTTTACATTTCGTAGTATTGTAAATGATATATGTATTACAAGAGTAAATCTAAATGTACATAAAAACATTTTACAGTAACAAAGACTATAAAATGAACACAAGTAAACTGTGTTAAGTAAATGGTGAAAACTGAAATTGAAATTAAAATGTAAATATGAAACTATAACTGATATTTGATTTAAATTTGGAAAATGTGTGTGAAATACCAAATTGAATGTCATTTATGAATATTTTTTTCTCACGTTTTGTTGTTTTATTCAAGAACAAAGAAACTTAATTGTTATTTGAATCACTCAAGTAAATGTTGATTTATATCTAATATACAAGTACACAAAATTACATGTACTAATAACGAATCAGAAGTTAGTTTACTGTCATTTGACCTTGAGGACTAAAATCTATTGATTATCAATAAAATTCTCAGTCACATACGTGCTATTTATACTTATGGAAAAAGAATATTCTCCAATTTATTGTGATATACTATTGTCGATTAACTAAGTTTTGGTAATAAATCTTAAAATTTCTAGTGTGCAATTTTTGTATTCACTCGTGGTAACAGATAAAATAGAGAATATTTTAATTAAATAATTATATTTGTGATATTGTTGTAATAGTATACTGTTACATTTCCAAAATGGCTTCTTTTAATGGATATCTAGCCGAATATTTTCATGGTTTTTTAATTTGGATATAATCAACTAAGCTACTTAACAAATCTCATACTAATTGTAGTAGATGTCATTCACAACATGATGAGTATATAGCATTGTTCGCCATAAATAAAGGATATATGAACTCATTTGAACGTTATATTTAGCCTAAATACTTCAGATATAACTGTTTGTTTCCCTATAATTAGGGTTAGTACTTGAAACTCTTTAAAACTAGATGGATTTGAGAACAGAATGACTCAAAAACTAACAATTTGGATTCCATTTAAAATAAAAATCTTTTGTAGGGTATTATCAATAGTTAGTAAAAATTAAAAAGAAATAAAACATTTTGTTTCGTTGATTAAGTTAAAAAACTCACATATCAATTTTAACTACTTTATTTGTTATTTCAGTAGCATAAAATTATAATGTAATTTGAAAGGAATAGCTAAATGTATAATATTTTTTTCCCGTTATCGATAGTAATTGAAAAGTGTGATTCACCATAATGTCGAATATTTTCAGAAATTTCTAATTCTGCTTATTTACTTTATGTATTTAAGTGTTGAACAAGAGATAATAGGCTCAAAATAATTATTAGTTTTCATCATCATATTGATTACAATTAATCAGTAATTTTGGCTTGTTAAATACATTTGAAGGACAAAATTTCGCAATCTTTCTTTCATCTATTTTCATTCATTAAAGATCTGTGCACCTCATGAATCATAAGCAATGATATTATCAAATGTGAATTGATATAAAGAAATTAGGTCAATATATTATTTTTACAGTGGTGTTTATCATAGAATTATTCACGCCTTATGGAATAATTTAATTGGCAATAGGGTAGCAAACATTTAAGGTGTAATTGTAGAATTTCCAACATTAATTTATTATACAATAGTTAGCTGCATAGTATGATATCATAAATTTTAACCATATCTCACTCAATATGAAAAAGTGAATGGGGAGACTATAATTTATGGACGACCTTTAAATGGTAGTAAAGTAATGTTGAGAAACTTCAACTACTTACTAGAGTCAAAATAGGGCTATAAATTTGTATGTAGAATTAGGACTAGCAGCTAAGGTTAGAGGATAGGGTTAAGCATTAGAATTAGGATTTTAATCACGAAATGACACCACCTATAATACGAAAATGTTCTTTAGTCATAGAGATGAATTGATTTTGCATCACAATTCAAGATTCCCAGTCTTGATTCTGATTGATTCATACATAATTTATGGTCCCATAGAATAAACTATTAAGTTATAAGCTACATTTTATCTGAGTTCAAGTAAATTTCGACCTTATTATATTCCATTTAACAGAACTAAAACCATTATTATCATGTTGCTTAATTTCAAACGTTTCTTATTATATTACTTAATAATAATCATATTTGCAAAATCATACAGTTTGTTTATCTGTTAATGATCAATCAATGAAATTAAGTTCGTTATAAACTGGATACATTTTACTGATTTCATGTTATACAACTATAAAATCAGTTAAATTAAAAGAAATTATAAAATTGTTTATTGTAGCATAATTATATTTATACACATTCTACGGTTATGATTATTACTATGAATGAGGTTTAAGAAACTAAACAGTACTTACAAAGGAAGTTTATTCAAACATTTTTTAAAACCTTTTCAAACAATGCTGATTCATAATATTTAGGATTGATTTAAACGCTCGACTTAATTGTAAAATTATTTTCCGAGAAAAATGTTTTACATAGTTAGATAAATATCTATCGCCTTGAGATGGTGGAGTTTGTGCTGATGATGCCGTTCAGGGGAACGATGAAAGCTCCACAACTAAACTATCCAGTTGAGAGAACAAAACTCCATCAAAATCTATCGCCTCTTATCTTATGAATTCATTGGATGTTTTTTTTCTTGATAAAACTACAAAAAACATGAATATACACCATGCTTACTGTTTTCTTTTGACAACAACAACAAAAACTCGATACGATGAAACATCAGCTGTTACATATATTTAGTGAACAGGAAGAGTGAAGTTATGTTTAACAATCAGTAGACTTTATTGTGATCATTTAACCAATATCAAAAGTAAGGTAATTAAGAAACATCTGACAATCATTTGTCTGTGTTCATGTAAACATTAGTTTTATCATTCAGTAGTTGTATGTATCGACTTATAAATTTAAAGGGGATTCATAAAAACATAATGAAAAATCCCTGCATAACAATGTCTCAAGATTCTTGAATAATTGTAAGAATTTTCATTACTTTTCTTTTGATATTCAAAACTGAATTGGTCAATGATTGTTAACAAATAGTTTCTGGCTTGTAAAATGAATGAACTACGCTTCTTCTCACTAATCAAAATATAATTAAACTGTATATAGTTTACTTCAGATAAATATATTAGTGTTTTGATACAAGCCTTATTATTTATAGAATAATCTACTTCTAAGTAATCTTCACAGAAGGCCTGCTCGGAGTTGAATTGATTTCTTCGTTAGAAATGTACTGTGATCAGTTTAGATTTACTAATCTTATACTGTAGTAATCAGTCTCCTACGTCAATGATATATTAGAATAGTCTCTGAATAGGGTGGTGAGTAATATTTCTGACTTTTGAAGAAATTATATATCTATTCAGGACTGATGAGTGTGACTAATAAGGAAGGTAAATTAAAAGTTTTGACTACCTCCCTTTTGATTACTGTTATTACTGCTACCATTTTCAGCTATTACTATGACTAATATTATTGTTCTTCTAATACATGGGAGTTGTGGAGGTTGTTGGATTCTGTTGTTGTACATCACGGACGTCTCCTAGTTAGGCAGCCACAGAAAACCAAGAGGCATTGGATACCCGTTGTGTTATAGTAGTGTATTTTTCAACGGTACACATATACGATGGTTATTTAACATAGGTCAGTCCGTAATGTAAGACTATAGAATTATTATTATTGCTGTTTTATTCTGCACTTAAGTGATTTAAATTATTTTAAAAATGCTTTCAAATTCATCATACGATTTCTATCCAAAGAAACCAACCGAGTTTTTTTTAATTCTGAAGTAGTTATCACGTAGCCAGTCTAAATAATCTTTTTGATTCCAATTAATTCCTGTTTCCTATTTATTATGCCTTAATCTGTCCTAAAGTAATTATTTACGTTTAATAGTGTTACTGGTGTGATATTATGTAAATATGAAATAGGGTTGTTAGCATTTGAATAGGATCTATGTGGTATACATAGTTCAGGTTTTCCTGTATTGATCAAATTCCTAAGAGGAACTGACTGTATGAAGTCTAGGTCAATAATCACAATGAGACAGAATGAGTCAACACACATAATAGGTAAAAGTACAAGTTTATAGTACGAAGACAGGTGTACTGATAGTAGTAAGAATAATAAAATAAAATACGATAACAAAAGTCATATCAATAGTTAAACATTGGAAATAGAAGGTCAAACATAGGTAAATAGAATTAGAATATCAGAAGGGGTTTTGTGGAGATTTTGAGTAATTTCAATAGTTGAAATCATTAGTCAATTGAAGCTAGACAACCATGGAAAACCTGGAAGCATTGGACGGCCAGTTCGTCCTAGTATGGGACTCCTCAGCAGCGCTCACCCACGATTGGATTGGTTGAAGTTAGACATTAACACTGTTGGATATCGGCTCAGTGGTCTAATGGTTAAGCGCTGGCGCGCGAGACCGATAGGTCCTGCGTTCGAATCCCGCGGGGGGCGGGATCGTGGATGCGCACCGCTGAGGAGTCCCATACTAGGACGAACTGGCCGTCCAATGCTTCCAGGTTTTCCATGGTTGTCTAGCTTCAATTGACTAATGATTTCAACTATTGAAATTACTCAAAATCTCCACAAAACCCCTTCTGATATTCTAATTCTATTTACCTATGTTTGACCTTCTATTTCCAATGTTTAATTATTGATATGACTTTTGTTATCGTATTTTATTTTATTATTCTTACTACTATCAGTACACCTGTCTTCGTACTATAAACTTGTACTTTTACCTATTATGTGTGGTGACTTATTCTATTTTATTGTGATTACTGACCCAAATTGCCTCGATTGCTTTATTATTTTCGTATAAATATTGATGTATATTAGAGCAAAGCCTGATGACGATGTAATTGAAAACAATCGTTCGCTTACATATGTTGTATGAAGTTTCTTAAACATCAAGAACACGTAAACAACTTATTAACTAAAATTAAATATTTTGATGAATTCAAAAATCAACAAGTAGATTCAAGAAAAATTTCTTAGTGTAATAATATTTAACATATGAAATTGCTCACTTCAATAATTTGATCTCCAGCCTTGAGACCAGCTTTCTCTGCATTACCATCTAAATTAAATGATAGAAAATGAAGAAACAAAATAAATGGAATTTGAACAGGAACATGTATAATAATTAGAATTCAGTTAAAAACTAAATAATTACTGCATAAATCTTGATTACTATCACCTTGTTGTGATTCTAATCGGTTCTTATTAACCAGACAACCAGACAACTATATATATATAGTTACATTCTAGTTGAAGTATTAATCTGATATTATTATTATTAATGGATTTGTTCAATGTTGTGTTTTTGGTACAATATGGACTTCTCAGCATAAGGTATTTCAATAAGATTTTTTCACGAAGAAAAAATAGAAGAAAAGTGAAATAAACTGATAATTGCACACATATGTGCATAAGTTAAGTAGATAAACTAACTGGAACTAAATGAATTTTTTTACTCAAGATTTGAATCTGTACAACATTTTTAATTAGAAACATTTTTAGGAATACAAGTTATTGACTAGATCAGCTGTAACAACCTGTTCGTCTCATAGTATAATTGCTACATGAGGTATTGTAGAGCTTTTACGCTTTTACTTGCGTGCATGGATTTTAATATATTCATGTATCGTACTATCAGAAGATATATAAGGAGAAAGGTATGAATGGAGTGGATGGTTAGTATCTGATAAGATAATAACTTTCAGAAGTTTGTAAGACTTTACTTGTCTATCCACAACCCTATCAATAATGACCCCAAAATATTCACCAAACACCCCGCTAGCTGCCTTTAACACTCTTAACAATACAGCAAAGTCTTATTTCAAAAGCGCTGGAAAGAATAATGGTGAGCAGTAAAGAATAACAGGTAATATGCATGAATCGACAAATTTTTAGAGTAAATGACGATTAATTCCAAAAACATACGGCCTCTTTATATAGGAAGCGAGACGAATAAATTCCTTCGATAACAATAAAATATGAGAAGACCAAGAGAGGTCAGAGGAAAACCTTTCACTGAGATAAACGACTTTAACGCTGTGTTTATCAAGGAATTTCCAATGGTACGAAATATAATGGATTCCAACAAGGTGTTTAGGTGCTGTTCATGTCTCAGGCTAAAGCTAACAGTTTGACATTTAAACGGGCTAAGTGTGAGACTATTAACAACAGACCATCATTCAATACGAGACAAGAACTCCTTCATTTTAAGAAGATACAAAGAGGGAGAAATCGGCATACATACAATGAGATCTTCCACATATTTAACAAAAGTGTTTCCTGTGGTAGATGCCAGATCATGTAGAAAAAAGGAAAAAAAGAAGAGGGTGTAAAGGACAGCTCCTTGTGGCACACCTTCATAAGACAGTAGAGACGTTGAACACTTTCCTCCAAATAAAGTTCTATTCTCTTCCAGAGAGGTAGGAACATAGCAAGTTGGTTACTCAACTGTCAGTGTTGACACTGATTAATGTGTTAAGTAGAAGTTGTCCTGGAATAGGGTCAAAGGGAGATGTATAATCTGGAAAGTGCATCGAACATACTTTTAACCCTTTTTCCCGCTGAACACTATATTATTATGCAGAACAGCAACGTCATCTAAGGTGCTTTTTTGCATTTGTAAGCAAACTGATACGGATCAATGTGCTCGTTTAGTGCAGGTTGAAGTGGAAGTATCAGTAATTTTTGCACTGTTTTGAGAGAAGGTGAAGTTAGTGCTATGAGTGTAAATTTAACATTCTTATTGCTAGATACTTTACCAAGTATTAGGATTATCTTTATCTTTCTCCACAGTTTCAGTACGAGGTTAGTTGAGAACGATCTGTTGAAAATGCCCGTGAATGGATAAAACAGAATGTCAGCATACTTTTTAAAAAGGAGGTTTGGGATTTCATCAAGTCCCAAAAATTGAGACAAATTAAGCGACTGAAGACATTTTCGAAACTAGGAACACAACCATTCTTTAAACCTGTGGATATAGGGAGCATAACATCAGATGACTGATGTACAAAAGACAAACGTTCAGCTGGTTATCACTTCTAATTTACTTCTCGCCTTTACGTTCTTCAAATAGTTTTCACATTCTTGGAGAGTTTTTACAGGATAGGAGTTTCTGAGTAAACGTTGAGTTCAGACGTCTAATCACTAGGTTTATTAGAACACTTGACTTTCGAGCTTCAATGGAGTTTTTCTCCTTGTGCCTTCTTTCTTTCGTTTATTTTTATTTGTGAAGATGTAAGTTGATGAAAACGTATAGAAATGGTTTCAGGGGGACAACAAATATGAAGGCAGAATTTAAGATAACAAATGATAACATCAACGGTGTTTTCCAGTGAGCCATCCGTAAATTATCCCTAGCTAGTCGTACGAAACATGTTTTTCAGATCTTAGACAATTTCTTTTGAGTAATTTGCTCACTTAAATTTCTTTGTCTGATGTAAGAGTGTACTCTTTCCATGTATGACATATACTTTAGGTAGAACACAAATTATACAATGCTCAGAACTAGACAGTGGAGCACGTTTACAAGTCACTGATGTAGCCATATCATTAACGAAAACTAAGTTTAAATAGGCATCCAAACGAGTGAGTAAATCTAATGATCAGTTAATGAAAGTAAGCTACAGCCACATGAATTAAAATTACCAGCTGCAATTCAAGGTAAACCATGAAGGCAATAACAACAAATTCAGTGAATTCATCAGCGAAAACTGATAGTGTAGATGATGTGCAGTCTGAAGTCACCTAGGGGTTAGTAAAAAACATAATTGTATTTATTCAAGTGTTTTGTAAGTCATCTTAAAGTTAAACAGTCGATAAAGTCGTTTAAAAACTTGAAACATGAAAAAGTAGATCGACATCAGTTCACGTTTGCAATCATAGCTACACCACCGCAATATCTTTTCTTATTGATTGGTCGATCTTGACGATAGATATTAAAATCATGCAGTGATACTAAGTAATCGTCTTGTAAATCACCTAACCAGTATTCTTGAATTGTGATTATACTACAATTACGATGCATGTGTTGACTTAGTAGGAGTTGAAGACAGTCCACCTTTTCAATCAGTGATCGTCATTTAGAATTTAGCAGTTCAGGAATCACCATCTGACTAATGTTCATTCTCTTCAAGGCGTATTGTCAGCCACCACAATGTTTCTGACTATACTTTTTTGTACCTTGTAAAGCAACAGAACATATACTTTTCATATACGCGCCTGAGTAGGTTATGCGATTAACCGACATGATATTGTTTTAAAATAAAATTAAAAAAACAACTTGTTAAAACATCTAGATGGTAGGAACAGGTAGACCAAATATTCAAGCAGACCACCAGAACTGAATGGTAAAAATCTGACAACACTCAACCAAATGATCCCTTATATTTCTTTAGTATAACTGTGAACTTTATCATATGTATAACCCTCAATGTGCACATTTTTTTTCAAATTTAGTATAATTATTAATTATACAATACGAGAAACGTAAACGGAGAACAATGTACACAATTGAAGTTGAAAATATCAGCATGTATATTCAATAAAAAAGATGAGTTGTTTTATTCTCAATTAACTATCAGAGAGACAAAGGTTATCCATTGATGAGAAATATCAGCATACCATAAATAAAGTCATTTAAACTTGTAAGAAGATACAAATAGAATTGAATGACGATAAAATAACTTTACAGAAGTACAACTTAATTGAAAGTTAATTTAATATAATATAATTTATTTGAACACATAAATATTGGTACAAAGGGTCGCTGAATACATATGAGTCACACAAGTCACTTGATTTATGTGTGGGCTATGATACTGCCCGGGTACATAGATCGAAGCAGGTGATTTTCTTAGGGGTTACGCCTGGAGCCTTCGACCTGAAGGTCCGATCCACAAAACGGTGGAGCGACGTCAGGAGATGCACTACCATGGTAACCGGTGACCAATAATTGATATATACGCCATTTATTCCCTCAGTATTCTTCAGCTCATGTGCACAATTGGTTTGGAATCAGGGTTTTCCAACTCCTCCTGATGGATCCTCCGTATCTACCAACCCGGTTAAAGTTCCGGACATTCGTTTTTCGTCCTCTCAGTTTTGTTAACAACGCCCTCTCCGCGAGAAGGCTATGAGTAGGACTTTTGTGGTAGTGGCTGTATACGTGTGGCCATGTGAGAGCATTTCGAGGGGGAGAGCTAACTCTCCCGACCCTCGGTCGTACTAGGACATTTATAATTTTCAAGTGTAATAAAAATATGACATTTAAGTGAAAATCACTTTCAATTTGTAAACAGGCAAATAAAATTATAGTTGGATCTGTTATTATTATTATTTTAATTGTCAATAATGTATAGATTTTGATAATGGTATTGATTATTGAAGAAAATTACATTCTATTTGATCAATTTTCATTATTATAAACACTTAATTCAATTAAACTTTTAAAATTAACTTTTATAGTTTTGATTTTTACCTATTTTCATTCTTAAATTATATGAAACTTTTAATTGTTTCTACTCTTTACTGAATAATTACAATTTGTTGTTTATATATTCTACAACAAACTATGGTAGTTGTTGAATTTGATAGAAAATAAGGTGAGACTATAATTTATGGACGACCTTAGAGCGACGCTAAAGTGACCTTGAAAACGTCCACTTAATAACTAGGATCAAATAAGGGTTATAAACCAATGTGAGAAATTAGAATTATGATTTATAGTTAATGCTTAGGGAATTCGATTTAGAGTTTTCATCAACTATAATTCCAAAACGCTAAAATCCAAGACTTTATCTTATATCTGATTGGTTCGTCAATAAATTATACACTCGTGGAAAATAGTTTATTTTGTTGGTGTATTGGTTTACCTTTTATAGGATTTACCATTTTTATAATTTGAAACTTCTAACCTCATAGTACTACTCATAATTACACAATCCATATATATCTACTATTTCCTATTACTTAGGGTTTTGGAGTTTAAAAAATCGTCTCCTAGAATATCTCATAAAAATTTAAGTACAAGAATTATGTCAGCCTATATTTTAGTGGTAGACA